GAGCCCATGTAAATAAGCTCAAGAACAGTTCAATGGAGTTCTCTGGATCATTAGGTTAGGTTCATTATTTACAAATTAGAGATCTAGAAGCTGGCACGAGACAACGCTATATTGTCTCCTATGTCGAAGCACATTGGTTCACGTATTCTCTTTTTGTTTTCGAATTTTATTTGTTTTTTTTTGTATGAATGTTAAGATTTTATACCATTTTATTATAAGAAACGGGGCCATTAAAGCCCAACTCAAATGAATTAAAGCCCAATTTGTAACCCCCTAAAGCGACAGAAGCTTGTAACCCTGACTAATTTGGCTTGTCTCTTTTTTGCCCTAATTTGTCTTCTTGTTCTGTGTTTCCTCTCGCCGCTCGATCGACCATGTCCAGAAGATCTCTCTACAGTAAGATCTCTCTCTCTCTAATCTAATCTAATCGTGGATAATTGGATGAGAAATATATTCATGACTTTTGGGTTTCTGTTACTGCTTCTTCCTTGTTTGGTTACATTTTGGTCCGTCAATTAGATTGTTCATAGGTGGAATGATTGTTTATTTGCGTTTTGGCAATGACTGTGACAAATATCTTCTGGAACACGGACAGTTGGCTCCCCGATAAGTATGAGGATTCTGATCTTACCTGTGCGTCCATCGCGTGTTCCCTCTCAGAAAGGGGTCTCTATGATCCCTGTCTTACGGCTTATGGTGATGCCGAGAAATTCCCAGGAGAGGTGAGGGATGGGTATTATGAGTATGAAGGATTCGGCACTTTTCAAATAACAAAAGGGAGTGAACGTGAGAGACTTGTTTTGATGTTAGTGGATATTGTTTTACGGGCATCAGCATATAAGTACCTACGATCCAACTTGGTCATCATCTCAAAACTGTCACAAGACTCGGAGATGATCTGTAAGGTTCTTGGTTCTTTGAGACAAAGAGGCCTCCATGTTTTATTCGCACTCCCTGAGGTTCATGTCGACGCTGCTCTAAGTTCTGGAATGACTGTACGCGATAAGCATGTTTCATTTGCAGAACCTGAGGTTGATGTGGGCACTAGTTCTGAAATGACTGAGCAGATGGATCGTAGAATCCCAGTTTGGATTTGTCCAAACCTATTCGACCTTGACTGTCCACCACAGCCAGAGCATGGAGATGAAAAGGAGGGCTATGTTATATTGCATCCAGCTCCAGATCCCCATACCATTAATTTCAAAATGCCCACCAATGTTGATACATCCGTCTTCTGGGACGTCGAGGATTACCCACTCCCTCCGGGTCTCCAACTCTCTAAGTTTTATGAGAATATCATGGCAGCTGTTCGTTCTTGTGTTTCTTCTTCTTCTGGCGGCGCGTCGATCTATGCATATGTTGGGAAAGAGAAAGAGAAGGAATTTGTTGTCCATGGCTCCGGAATCACAATCACTGTGGTACCCAATGCTNCAGCAGACAAATTTGCAAGACTTGCTAAGATTACAATGGACTTTCTTTTGTGGTCAATGGACAATCGTACCAAGCGTCGCTCTCCTCCTCTGCCCCGCCCAAATCTGCTGGTAATCACGAAACGTTTGGAAGATGGCAACAAATTGTGCCTCCGGTCTACCCTTCGTGGTTTGAAATTGAGAGGTCACAATGTTTTCCTTGCACTTCCTGCTGAAAAAATCCCACCAGCGGAGTCGTATGATGAGGATGATCTTCCGTTGTTGTCTTGGGAACGCCTAACAGAAATTGGAGAGCTCAAGAGAGGAAGAGAAGAATCTGACTAAGTTCTATCATCTTATCCCTGATCCTTGTTATCATTATGTTTTGTATGAAAAACAATGATTTTTATTATCATTTTGTTTTGTGTTTTGTGTTTTGACTAATAAATCACTCTTGTTGTACTAAAGAAGATTAAAGGATTCGGGTAATATGTTGTTACTTTGCGTCTGCCAATGACTCTAAATCAAGACAAATCTTATAACTCGTCCTGATTTTCTACTGCTTGTGCTTTTTTTTCTGACCAAAATGTTGGTTAAATGCAAGCTTAAAATGTGAAAGTGTCGACAGTACTCTTGCGTTTTGGTGCGGCGTATTGCACTGGGAGCTTCTTCAATCTCCAATGGGGCCTTCTTCTCTTTCCTCAATTCTCACGAAAATGTTTCTCTCCAACATTCCTTTCTCTCTATTTTC